TGGCTGAGGCCTTTGTTGATCAGTAGTCTTACAATACACAAGTTGAAATGACCACTCAAGAGCTAGAAGCTACCCACCAGAATCCTACAGAGCCTTTTGTGGAATTCATCGCGAGGTGGAGAGCAAAGGCAGCGCAGATGACAGATCGCCCTTCTGAGAGGGATCAAGTGCGGATAGTGGTGCGAAACCTTGAGCCTGATATGTTGCAAAAGTTGATAGTCACTCCACTATTCACTTTCAAAAGTTTGCATGAACTGGGGGTTCAGGTCGAGAATGTGTTCAACAGTAGGATCATTCACAGAACAAGTGAACTGATAAGGAGGGTTTTTGCAGGGAGAACCAATGCTAGTAGTAGCTCTATTCCCGAACCCATCGAAATCAATACAGTCACCACAGCTGACCCTTTTGCCAATCTAAGCCTACAAACCGCCGGCCTAGCCCGAGCTTAGGGCAGAACTTTCACCCATCTCTATATGAGCCTGACTAGCGCACTAAAAGTCTTGATGGAAAGAGGGTATCTCAAACCCCTCGATCCTCAACCTCTGTCTAACCCACTCCCAGCCAGACATAACCCTTCCAAGTACTATGTGTACCATCAGCAGCACGGTCATGGCACCGACCGTTGCTACCGCCTTCGTCATGAGGTCCAAAATCTCATCGACAACCGAACAATAGCTCCACCTTCAGACCCCAATGACCAAGTACCTCATCCACATCTCAATCTAATCCACACACTAGCCGTCCCTTGCGACCCCAGCGTATACATCACCCCAGTCTATCTACCCAAGCCTGAGGTGTTTATCCCAGAAAGCATGAACTTATGCATGATGGATGCATTTGGACCCCAATCATCTCAAACCCGTGAGCCCACTACTTCTGAGCTAATAAGAATGATCGAAGATCTTCAGAGAACTGTGACAGATTTAGCCTTCGAGATATTGGCTCCGTCATTGACCACACCACATACCGGGAATTTCATGACAAAAGGCTCCCCAATCTTGGGACAGGTTGCATTTGAAGAAGGTCGATCCCTTGGCAAAGTGGAGGCAAGTGGAAAGAACAAGGTAGGGGTAGGCATTGATCCCCATGAACACCTTCTGCGGGCTGTTGAGGTTTTGAAAGCCGAAGGATTGAACAAACAACAAGTGCTTGCAGTGGTTACAAAAACTGTGGATGATACTTTTGCCACTCAAGTTGGGGGCAGTCTAAATCAAGGGGCAAGCCGAGAAAAGGGATGTCGTACCAGAAACAACCCTTTTAGCTCCAATCCTACACTCGAAAGAGATCATCAAAAGTCAGCACTTGCCGAGCCTTTCGCTGGTACATCCAACACAACTAGCTCACAACCTGTCAAATACCCACCTCGGGGCCAGGGGTGTTCACCCCGCTATATATGTCTCTGTCAACGGCCCTAAGGGTCCTGATTAAAAAAGGGCATCTGAAGCCCCTAGAGCCGCGACCACTACCAGACAGACTCCTTGCTTCCCATAACCCAGCCAAGTAATGTTCCTTTCATCAACAAGCCGGCCATGACACCGACATATGTTTTTGTCTTTGCCACGAAATACAAGATCTGATTGATAAAGAGGTCATCGTCGCGCCAGGTCCCACAAAGCCTATCAGCACTGGATCGATGAACTTAGGGGATAATGTGATGTGATCGGGGGGATGAACCACCTGCGGATGGCGCTCAGTTTACTCCAGATGTGATGGATGGCCCGCATTCTTTTGAGCATTGTGCAGATGCTAGTTTTTGTGCTTTCTGACTTGGGTATTGAGTCAGTCTTGTGGTGTTGTATTGAGTCAGCCCTTTCTTACTGAGTCAGTTGGGTTTGTCTTGTTGTATCGAGTCAGTCCTGTTGTGTAGGATTCGAGTGATTCCGGGGGCGTTACCTCGGATATCACTTGCTAGTTTTGTGTTTGTCTTTTCACTTTTTTTTGAGTCTGTTTCTGCCATGGAGCCAGTTATGCCAACAGATTTTGAATGAAATAGCAGTAATTTTGACACTCTTGTGTCTACTTCTGCCTTGTGCCAGTTGTGCCAGAAGTTCTGAATGAGATGGCAGTATTTGACTAAAACTGTGTCTTTTCTGTGCCTTGAAGTCATTGCATTGACCTAAGTTTTTAAAAACTTTTTGAACACTGTGATGAAAACAAAGAGGAAGGAATTCCTCAGGATTTGCAATAATTTGATCGATTGAGAGTAATGATTGAGATCATGCTTATTAATGTGAGTACTGAGAAGGATCCTGGCTTGATTCAAATTGGTTCTACATTGTCTTCAGCGCGAGCGATTTGTCGCTTTCTTAAAAGATTTCAAAAAAAATGTTTTGCACGGTCCTGCGAAGACCTGTGTGGAATCGCTCTTGAGATTGTGCAGCCTAAGATCGTTCTCAGCCTCGAGACTCGACCCCTTTTGCTTGCAAACCTTGAACTTGGATTCAGAATGTTCAATGGTCAACCACAATGTGAGGCCTGTGTGGCCAGATTTGAAGCAGCCCATGAACTAGGGGCAAGAAAAGTGAGATCAAGAAGATCAGATGTCATCAAAAGAAGCTTGCGAAGCTAGATCAGAAGCACCCCTCGGACTAGGGGCAAAAAATATCAGACGTGCTCGAAGAGCCAAAGATGGATCGTTGCTCAAGATAATGAAGATCGGCAAGAATGCTAAATCCCAGAAGGGAGGAAAGAAGAAAGTTTATTACTGAAAGACAATTGAGTTCCTATCCACAACACTAGGGGCAGATTCAGCCCCTATCTGATGGACTTTTACATCATCAGCGAACAACAGCCACTCTCCTAGATTCAGATGGCTTCGAGATTCTAAAACCATTTGACATGGACAAGCTACACTTTTACCCTTGAGAGGCTCGCTGGGCCGAAAATCCGGAAGGGCGACCCAGGCAAAAATTAGAGCAAATGAAAAATGAAATGAAAAAAAATGAAATGAAAAGAAGAATAGAGCTCGCAAGGTTGAAAACCGGAAAGGGCGGCATTGGCAAAAGTTAGAGCGCAAAAGGAGAGGTTAATACCCGAGTGTACCTTACCCGGAACTACGTAAGGCTTGATTCCCATGTTTGGGATACGTAGGCAACTTCATTCTGAAGTCCAGCCATAAACACTTCCAAATCGATTATGTCCATGTAATAGTCTTGATCATCTTTGCCTTCTCTGTATCCGAGAGTTTGGTTGTGATCGTCACTTTGAGGATTGACTACGGTGTATTGCGGTGCAATTCAAACAAGGGGCAACTTTCTGTTGCCATACAGTGCGCTATGGTGCCATTCAGACACGGGGCAACTTTCCATTGCCATGCAGTGTCCTTCAGACAAGGGGCAGTTTCATTGTTTTTGGATCTGAGGTTGTGCATCTCAAGAGTAGGTTCCATGCTCGTTGAGCGGTGGCCGTTTGCAAAAACAGTCTTTGAGAATTTTTATTGAGTTGACCAATTCTCTCGAAAATTATTCAATTTTTCCAAAATTGGACCATTTCTTGGACCCAAAAAAGGAAAATTTCTAGTGCTCATAGCCTGACTTGCATGATTTCAAATCAGAAAATTGAACAAGCATGTTAATCAAACTCTTATTTTGGTCAAAATTGTTTTAGTAGAAAACCAAAACAAAAAATGGTCAAAACGATGAACTAGGGGCACATTTGAGTCAGTGTTCTGTCTTGTCTCCATTGTCAACCTACTTGCCAAGAAGGGCACTCTACCTGCCAGAACAAGGCACAACTGAAATCAACAGCAAAAGGGCTGAAAGCTCTCAACATCCTCCAAGCAGCGAGGTATCAAGCCAAGTGTGAAGCATGAATTGGAATGGATCAAGATATTCCACTCCCTTATCTGGACGGATTTGATCATGTCCAAACTCCCTAACAGAGCATCGTCAACCAATGTCAGCTGCAGATTGGCTACGCACCCAGTTGTAGCGCAACCCCTCTGTGGGGGAAGTTCACTGTTGTGAGTAGAAGAAGAGAATCTAGCAGAATGCTAAGGGCATGAGCCCGCAACTTCCTGTTTATCCATCGACCACCCAAAGGGAGGGATAAAAAATGAGAGATTGAAGAATAGAGAGATGTGTGTTGAGAGAAAAAGTGAGAAAAGGACTTTTTCAGAAAAATAGAGATTGAGTGCCAGAGTAATGTGAGAATCACAAATAAGGAAGGGTGGGAAACATACCCGGAGAAACTGGCTACTCGCGCACCGAGAGGTCTCTCGCCTTTGTAACACGTCTGTGTGTTGTGTCTTTTGTTTTGTTTGTCTCGATTCTTGCCATCCAGTGTCTTCACCAATGGTCTGACACGACCATACAGTGTCACCTATCCTTTTTTATTTTTATGTATTTTCTTGTTTTGTTCCTCTCTTCAAACTCAAGTTGGTTAGTTTCTATCCTCCTTGAGTTTGCGGGGGGCTGTTAGAATTTACCATCACCTACCACCCATTTACCATCACCTACCACCACCTACTCCTCACCTACTACACTCACCCTCTCCTATATAATGAGCCACTCACCATTTGTAATATACATCAATATACATCAATCAATAATACAATTCTCTATTTCTTTTTCTCTCCCTTCCTCTCTCTACTGGCCCTCGTTGAAGGCATGACAAGCATTCTATGCAGGGGGTGCCACTCATATGCGTAGGGTATGCGAAAAGGGAACAAAACAACTATATTACGGTACCTATACATTAATGTACTCAAAATCTCAACAAAAATTGGTTCAAGGCCTAATGAAAGTCCAAACTAAAATCCAGAAATTTTAAAAATTATCTAGAAATGAAAGAAGATATTACAATGGAAAGATTAAAATTAGTCAGCATTCCAATAACAATATGGAGAATTTCAAATATTCTGATAAAACTTACAAACTTGACTAGAAAATAATATTCAGAAGAATTTTCATAAAAAAGCTTAAGATATGCTCATATTACTTTCATCAAAGCAAACAAAATAATTAAGTGACTATTGAGGCTTGTGCTTCCATCAATATAGAAACCACAAGAAGTATGCTTCAAATTAATCATTTTTTTACCTTGAACATTGTACTTATTGCAGTGCGCCGCATCACAGCTTCTCTAAGAGCAAGCAGAACTGTCTCTGATGGCACCACAACTGATGCTTGTATAAGTCCTATAACAATCAAAACAAGCACTGCAGTCAGAGACCCCATCACATCCTTATGACATCCAAATCTGGAATAAAAAACTGCAGCGTATCTATATTCTTCATCTGCCCATGGCCTTGTGCAGTGGATACGGCCTTTTTTTCAACTAGAACTCAGCTTGTAGATATATATATATATATACAAAAGGGTATGATATTAACCTGATTCGTAGGGTACTTTAGTTGAATGAACTGAAAGCATGTCATGTTGCCAGCCAGGAAATTTCATTCGGGATACATTTAACTCCTCAGGTTTGGGTTGAACAGAAGTTCTGTCCCACTTGATCAGTTCATTTAGAATGGGATCCGTCCATTCATGTCTTTTAACTTCACCAACCATATTTGCATCCAATTTTGAAGCACCTACTCGCATACTATATACCCCACATGGAAGCTCTTCCCAAAAATCCATTTCACTCGTTCCATATTCTTCTCCCTGATCTGCAGGCAAATACAGAATCATGGACTGAGTACTAGGCAAAGGTTGCACAAGCTTAACAGTTCCAACCTGAAGGCCCTAGTAGCTAACTATAAAGTGAATAAGGAATACATTATACATCTATAGGAGAATATGCAAACAGTGAACAAATATGAAAATATTGGAAGGAAAAAAGGCAGAATATAGCATTGGGTAATGAAACCACTTTACAGAGTACATGCCATCAATATATTGAAATTGCTGTTAAGCATAGCAATTTCCATCTCACATTTGACAAGAATATGAGGAGGACAAAAAAAAGGGCATACAAAATAGAACAAAGCAATTTATTTGCACGTATGTTCAAAACTCAATCAGACAAAACGGATTGCTCTTTTCTAGTTAACAAAGTACAGAATCATTCCACACATAACTAACTAGATCAGTTAACTCCAAAAATGTATTCAATTAAGTCAAGCTCTTTCTAGCCAAAAGCCAAAGTGATGAAGCAATTCTATCAGCTAAAAACCATCATACTAATTCAGCAATAAAACTTCTGTTCCCCCGTCCTTAACTGTAACGGACACCATGGACTCCCAATCATAATAAAAAAGTCAACCAAGATCCAGGCTTGAGCAAAAACTTTGCTGAGACGAGGTATAGCCAGACACTTCTAAGCTTACATTAGCATCAAAATAGCGAAGTACATCATAATTCCCCTGGAAAGTTAGAAGGTCACCTGATTGATTCATAAGCTTGTACCCGTTCTAGATAGTATCACATCACATCCTTTTGGCATTGACAAATGGAAGGTTTTTGCACTATTTTACAGGGAAATTTTATCAAATTAATAGAGCTCATTTTATCATTTTGCACATATAATGAAAATGTCACATCGAGGACTGGTTTTATTTAACATTATTTATATAAATATAAATATATATCTGGGTATGTGCATGTATGTGTCTGTTGTCTATCATTGATCTTACTAAAACTATAGACAAATGGACAAATGGACAAAGAAAAATCCTTATATCCAGTAAAACATTCATACACAAATGAGTATAACTCCTGTTCACTTTCAACCAATAATCTACATTTGTGCCAAACATATCAACGATCTTTTGCGCCATGCATTGCACCCTAGCCCATAAAAATAAAAATAACTAAAGAAAATAGAAAAATATAGAAAGGAAGAGATGACCGAGCACCATATACCAGAACTCTTATCAATGGAATGAGGTGGCGATACAGAAGTTAGAAGAAGCCTGGAGTCCTTGGAAGTTGGCCAGTGAACAAGAAGGCTCCGCCTTCCAAAAGCATCTCGACCAAACCATATGGTTCTTGAACTAGCCTATACATGACAATCCAAGTAAAACTTCACAAAACAGACTCGTAGAAAAAAACAAATCATTTGCCAAGTGGAGTCATTACAAATAGAAACTTACCACTTAAAGTTACCTGCCAATAGATTAAAGCCCATGGCCCATTAATTGTTGAAAGAAGATTAGGAACAGAATTTTGCCCCTTCTCGCTACCATGACATGCTTCCATTTGTCCATGAGAACTGCAGGAACAGCAATTTCCAAGAGATTCCATAAGAATTTCACCATCATTGCTATCATTGCTGAGATAAATTCCTCCAAATATTTCACCTAAAAGATACAGGGAAGGAATTAAAATACATTATATTCGGGACAAAAACTAAACAGAAGCAATGAAAAACATAATGTGACTAACCAAAAAAAAAAAAAAAGTTAAATAGTTAAAAGAAGAAGAAGATAGGAAGCAAATGTGTCCATTAACTAATCGCATAAACAATTTCATCTAATTGATTAAATTGTATAGTCTTAACTTTCCATAAAATACGATCCAAATACAAACAACTTCCTGGTCATAGCAAGTCAAGGTGCCACCTTGAGACTTGAGAGTAGAGTTAACTCATACAAGCTACTACTGCAAGAATATCAAGAAAATAAATTTTCGAGAAATATCATTTGTGAATTAGTAATTGAGAAGTTGTACACAGATAATAATAAAAAGTCCCAAATCAACAAACAGCCCCAAAATTAACTTGCAAATTCAGTGACCTGAACTAAATTGTCGAAAATGCACATGGTAAAAGTAGTGCAGAGGCCATAGTGTTAACAAGTAACTCAATACATTTACAAGTAACATGAACTAAAAAATGGTGAACAAAGAAATGACATTTTCAGAAAACTGCATATGACATAAGGTCTCTTCTATAACAAACCATAAACCCGATATAACTCGTATAAGTGTCGAAAGCATACCATTATAAACAAGGATATTTCCAGCTGCATCCACCAGCGGCTGAATAATAGGATTTATACCCCTAAGTTGTAATGTGGCACCAAGAAAAAACAGTTCGGCAACACACTTAGGTTTATCAAAATCATTGTCTAGCATACAAGGTTCTTCACTTGCAAAAGTGATGCAATGGCATGAATTAGCGTTATAATGTAAATCACCCTTGATTGCCTCTTCTTCCACTGTAAGAGAGAAAATATCTTGTCCCTCAACAGAAGATGGAATCTTTGAATGAAGAAAAACTTTCTTGCTTCCCAAGCTATCCGGACCTCGTCTCCTTAAAGCTGCTTTGATATCATTTATAGAAAACAACGGCTGGTGTGCCAAAAAAAATTAAAATAAAGTCTCAATACCCAACAGAAATTAAAGCCTCGGAACAAATGACTTTTTAGGAAAGACAATATAAGTCATTTTGCAGATTGAATACAGGTCATTCCAAGTGAATTTGTGACGTGAAAAAGAAAAGTACGTGATCCAATACTAATGCAGTATGCCCATGCAGTTATACATGATGTAGTGGGATCAGAGCATGCTACAACAACTAAATTGAAACAATTTTATATCAACCGTACACAACAACTAAAAATGTGATTCCCATTTTTTGGTCCTTCATATTTTGATATACTCAAATGGGTGTGACGCGCCGAGTTGATGCGTAAATAGTCACCAAGCACGTCTCAATTTCCAACTCCTATTTCGCCGAACTTTGTTCGTCTCATTGACCTCTACATGTTGGTATTTAGTTTTGTATCCTTCCGCATTGCCAAAAATGGCATTTCTTGTCACTGTATGTTGAGTTCTACATTTATTTATTTTTTAAAATGCTCAATACAAGATAACTTTCAACTTCAAAATTAAGTAATAATATCTTAAAAGTTGGAGTTTTTTTTTTTTTTAATTGAAATACCCAATTGCTATAATATAATTCAGTGTTAAAAAAAAAAAAAAAATTAGAATCCACAATTTTCAATTTACCAAAAAGTGTTCTCATACTAAGGCTAGATTACATTCAATACACAAATATGGTAGATTGCATTAATCAAGATCGACAAAACAACGAAATTGACAGAGAGAATATCATGAAAAGTTATAAGGTTGCTTACTTGTTCAGCTTGAGGAAGTGAACTAGTACTGAAAATGGGAAGCAAAGCTGATAAATCGATGCGAACACCACAGACAATGAGAGCGATTCCGCACATCTCTCTCTCTCCCTCCTCTCTCAACCCTACCTACGCAGTGGTTTTTAGGGTTTTCGATAATTTGATGAGACGACAGTATTTTGTTATATATATTATAAATTTTATGTACATTGAGCAGACAAGCAAGCCTCCGTAGCATAGTGGTAGTGCGTTCGCTTCGTAAGCGAAAGGTCGCGAGTTCGATCCTCGCCGGGGGCTGTATTGGGTAAGTTTTTTATTTTTTTTATTTTAAACAAAATTACACAGGACTGATTCATGTTCTGCGATTGTCACTGTTTGTTTGCAAAGAACAAAAACAACTTTTATAAAAAGCTTTGCCCCTCCAATTCAACAGGTTATTAGAGCATTTGCATTATTTTTTTCTTAAAAATTTTGTTTGATATCAAGTTCTCCAACGAAGGGTTTTGGAGTTTCATAAAGCTACCGAACGATCGGCCGATATAATTTTTTTATAAATTTTTGCCTTAAGATGGTCATTCGGGATGACATTCAAGAGAACATCTGGCAATGGCAATGAACAGTGATTTGATGAAAGGCATATTAGTCATCAGTTTGATACCTATTTGATTAAACCATTGAAGTAGGAAAATGAGCCATTTTTTATCAAATTCAAATTTGATGAAAAGTTTGAGTAACCATTGAAGATGGTTTAGAGAAGCCGCTTCATTCCTTGACTTCTTTATTCTTTAGTGTAGTCTCGGTCTATAGTTTAACTGTAGTTTGGGATGTAGATTTTTTTAGTGTTTTGGCTAAATTAGTTACAAAAAAATAAAATAAATTAAAAAATCAATAAGAAAAAATACCACATTCAAATTACAATCATTTTATTTTTTTTCATAAAAATCAAAAAAGCCAACACAGACGAATTTTTTAGTTGCCGTTTGGTAATTGGCTTTTTTAGTTGGCATTTTGACTTTTTGACTATTTTAGATTGGACTAAAAGTTGGTTTGGTTTGATTTTTTTTGGCTTTTTCTATTTTGGTTAGAAAAAGAAAAAGGAAAAAAAAGTTAAATGATTATAGTTTGAATGTGACGTTTTGTCTTATTAACTCATTTAATCTATTTTTATCTTTTCTGCTTTTTTAGCCAAAAAGTCAATGTCAAACGATGCCTTATGCCTTTTTTGGGAAGACCAAAAAAAGTCAAAAGTCAGCTTTTAATATATTTTTGAGTCACATTATTTTTTTTTACTTTTTTACATGTTTTTTCAAAAAAATTAAATAAAAAAAAAACAACTTCCCAAAACAACCCTTAGGCTTGTTTTGAGAATAAAGTTAAAAGCTGTTTTTTTTTTTTATATATCTTTTTTAGAAAAAAAAAATATGTAAAAAAATAAAAAGATAATGTAACCTAAAAAGGTCAAAAAGTCAAAAAAATGACTTTTAACCGAATTGTCAAATTAGTTAAACTAAAATAATTAAAAAGTTAAAAGGTCAACTTATGTTGCCCAACGAAGTTTAAGACTCCTGTCCGTTATAGTCTAGCCTATATCCATAACTGACGTGACTTTGTACGGACAGCTTTCCTTTTGTAGACGGCTAAGGCTTGGTTTGGGAAGTGGGTTGGCTTTTTAGTTTTTTTGGCTATTTTAGCCTGGGCTAAAAAGCTTGATTTGGGAAGGGCTTTTCAATTTTTTTTACTTTTTTTGTGAGAGAAGAGTGTAATGATTATGGGTTGGATGTGATGTTTTGTTTGTTGTGGCTAAAATAGTCTATTTTGTCTTTTGTGACTAAAATAGCCAAAAAAATCTCAAATCTTGCTTTCCAAACGATGCCTAAGTTACTTCATAACTTTAACGGACTTTTTTTTATACTGTAGCATAGGCCTGCGTCGGGCTTTTGTTAATTACCATTTCTATTTGATTTGTTAATTAAAACTTATTATGGAATAATCAATGGTGCATTATCATTTACTTCTATTTGATTTCTTAATTTAAACATATTATAGAATAATCAATAGTGCATTATCAATTAATTCCCTTCCATACAACGTTTTAAAAACTGGATCAGATCGGTCGGTTGAACTGTCGATCGATCGGGGTTTCGGTCCGGATACACCTACTAAACTGTTAAAAGGGAAAAGCCGACTTATTTTGAGAGAACCAAGAAAATCTGCGGTTGAACCGCCAAACCGGTCGACCCGGTGACGATTCACCGGGTCAATAAAATCAAATTTTTGTTTTGTTTTTTTTTTTCCTTTTTTTTATTATTATTCTTTCTTTCTTTTCTTATATATATATATATATATATAAGAAAATTTTAATTGGAAACTCTTTTTCAAGGGTCTGCTCTTGTGAGAAATCACATTGAGAGCTTGAAATTATTGTAAAAGCCTTTACCTATTTATAAGAAAAAAATTATTTCAAAAAAACTCAAGAAATCTATGTGGGATTCAATCAAATTTATTAGATGGAAATTTAAAATTTTGATATCCCTTTAAAATTTTTGTTCTTCTTTCAATCAAATTATTTGAATTAAAATTATATGGAGAGAATATTGAATATTTGATTTCTTCTTCCAAAATTAAAAAAATATTTTTTTTTATAATTTTTAGTAAAAAAAGTATTAGGAGAAATATTTAAGATTATTTAATTATTTAATTTGTAATTTTATTACTTATATTTTTATTTAAATATAATTTTAATATATTTATGACGTCACGGTTCAATTCCGGTTCAACCCGATGGTTGAACCGGTAACCCGTCCACCTGATCTTTTTCTGGTTCACTCACCGGTGTAGTCTTTAAAACATTGCTTCCATATATATATTTTTATATTATGATCTTGTTTGAGAAGTTTGTTATTTTAGTTAGTTATTTGGCTTTTTGACTAACCTAATTAAAATAGTTATGTTTGCGAAGATAATTGATTTTTTTTATAGTTGATTTGATGATTGTGAGAGAAAAAATGAAATGATTATAGTTAGATGTGACATTTTTTATTGACTATTTTAATATTTTTTTTTATTAACTACTTTAACCCAAAAAACTAAAAAAAAAATATCTTGTCAAACGAGACCTATGTGTTCATTCCCACAAGGTTCAATTTATGAATGTAAAAATGATCTGCGGCTCGTGAGTGGCCTGAAACCCGCTTGCGGCCCAGGGTGGACCCGACATAATTAGGCTGGGTTAGGCCTGAGCCTAGTCCGGGACCCTAGGCCTGGGTCATTATTTAAAGACTGACCCAGCCTATGGACCTCGCCCATCGGTCCACTCAAGACCCACTCAAAGTCTGGCTCGTCTGAGGCCCAGTGTCATTTTTTGTGAAAAAAAATAAAATTTTGGTAAAGAAATAGAAAAAAAAATAAAAATAATATTCAAGACCAAACCCAGATCCATCCAAGGCCCAAATATTTCATGGGCTTGGGCCTAGGCCTAATTTTTTGACCCATGGGCCGGGCTGGGCCGAATTTTAGAGGGAGCTCACGAGGCCTGACATGAGCCAGACCAAATTTGCATCCCTAAGTTCAATCATATAGCAACAATATTTAATTGGGTAATTGCACCTAGTGGGACTTTGAGAAAAAAAATATATAAATTTATGAAAAAATTTGTCACGATCCAAACCCGCCCCTAAAAGTTTGGTCCATGACTAGCCTGTACATAGGCCTCAAAACAAAATTTTAAAATAATATTTAACCATATATGGGGCCTTAGGCGGAAGCAATATCAATAAAAGATATGCATACATGATGGTTTAATTGGATTTAAGTATTTAAATACATTCCAAATATACATATGCAACCACAGAATTTATATAGATCTCACACACACTCACATAAGACTTACTAATTTATATGACTCCCAATAATAAATTAAGGCCTCCACGTGGAGACACACCCCAGGTGTCTTGGCAGACAGGCGAACCTTGGTACAACTCTAGTGTCAATCCCCGATGACTCACCCACAGAAAAATACATAAAACAAAATAAGCAAAGCTCAGTGAATAATAGCACTCAAACAATTTAATGATTAAACTTGAGTTGTAATATTTATAACGTATATAAGTGCAAAGGTCATATAATTACTCTTGTCTTGTAAACATTTTCAGAACGGCCTTGGCCCCAGTCTTTAAACAGAATGGCTTTAAGCCATTGAACAGAGTGGCATTAAGCCCTTAAACAGAATGGCAATCAGCCCTTAAACATATCGGCATTAAGCCCTCTTCATGCATGTATGAACTCAAGAGGTGGCTCGCACGGATTCTAGAGGTGACTAGCATTGTAGCACTTAGTTCCGTGTAACACTTTATTTCATACAACAGATCATACAGAATGGCCATAAGCCCAGGTGTCACAGATTGGCCATAGGCCTCACATATGTCACAGAACGACCATAAGCCTCATAACTTTCTCAAATGGCCATAGGCCTCATAACTTTCACAGAACGGCCATAGGCCTCAGTTCACATATGTATGGACTCAAGAGGTGGCTCGTACGGATTCTAGAGGTGGCTTGCATTGCAGCACTTAGTTCCGTACATCACTTAGTTCCGTACCAGAAATCAATTATATCATGTCATAGCATAAACAGAACAGAATAATCCCAGACTCATAGGAATACCGTTCACAATGGTGCACATAAATTTTCCCATGATTTATCACAAGTTGACATAGTTGTCTTACATATAACAAATCATTAGTAATAACTATTAACATATAAAGCAAACCATAATTCTATTCGATTAGCCATTTCGATGATTGATTATAAGATATTCAAAACATCATGTTCTTAGTAGGTGGGGCTTATATTCACAATTGCTTCCTGTCGAGAATTTGTACAGTATTAATTCATGCAGAGACATAGGCAATCTACAGTTCCCAATCATTCATAACAGTTAACGTAATTAATTTGCGAAGAACAGAGCGTTAATAATAAGAATTACTAACGGAAGGTAAATGTACAACTGCAGTACTATTACTCACAGTGGTAGGTCTCTAATAGCGGTGGAACAATGTCTTCGTCTTGACCTACAAGTACAGTGCACAACACATAATATGAGATTATACTCGATCCTTTACTTATTCTCTTTGATCATTCAATAAATTAGCCATGGTGGTAC